AGTGCCAGACTAATAAACTGCAGTCCTTATTTAGCTTGGCTCTAGACATCCATCTCTTCATCAGGCCACTTATCAGAAGAGGATGTATGTAGGTAAAGATTAGGGAAATTTCATTTGTGTGGTTACTGAATGGTGTTGTCTAGATCAGTGTCAGGGTCTGCTTTTTTCAGTTAGGGGAAAAGTATAATATCAGGAAATGTCACCTAGACAACTTATCAGCAAGACCCCTTGTCCTGAACTGCTGTTATGAGGAGTCTGTGGAGGTCCTGACACTGTCACCTTTCAGTGTCATAGAGAAAAAACGCCCAGACACTGGAATGTGGTCTCCAGCAGTGGCTGAATGCTTCTACCTTGAGTATACGATCCTCCCTGCTGGGAGGGTTGTCTTTGTGTAGGGAGTATCTCTAGGGCATCTCCAGTTCATGTCTGGAGAAAGCCTTTGTTCAATGCTGCTTTCTGTTCTGCATAGTAGGTGAATCTTTTTGTTTGGGGTGGTGGTAGAGACATGTAAATAACAGTAACTCGCAAGACACTGAGTGTTCCAAATTTGTGTTGGTCCCCCTGGGACTTGGAGTGGTGCAGCACCTCTAGGAAGTGGGCTCTTTATTTGATTTGTGGGGTAAAGTCCAGGTTGACTTCAAGTGCTTTGAAGTGGTACCTGAATGTGCTTTAAGTTTCCAAATGCAACTGCTGTACATGGTAAGTCCACATGAACTTCAGCTCACTAGTTTCGTGTACAAGAGCAGGTCAGAGAATGGTCATGGCTTAGTAAGGCTGGAACTGAGACTAGTTTTCCCCCTGTTTGCTCTATGTGAGAAGGTAACAAATGCTTTTGAGTGCATCTTCTAAGTGTTATTTTCCTTAGCAGCTGAACAGGAAAGTGCAGGCCCTGGACACTAGTTCTTGATCTAAGAAAGCAAATACTCTCTGCTTGACTGGCCTGCAGAGCAACACTGTATGCCCTTGACTTCATGTCCTGAAGGCAGCAGTGCTGATGCAGCAGACAGAACTTGTGCAGCACAGGCTCTGTGTCTGTTCTCTGCATAGGACATGCCACTGCATGTTCATATCTGTAGACCCTCCCTGCCACTTGGATGTGAGGCTCAATCTACTGACTTAAAAAGTCCAGGTCCACAGGCTGTAGAGTGCTGGGAACATAGGGGAGCTTACCGTGATCAGTTCTAGGCCCAGGCTGTGCTTTTAGTTTGATGGGAGTGATTAATCTGAGGTACTTCAGCCCCTCAGGAGCCAATTTGAAGTGCTGTTTTGAAAGCCTGTTCTAAATACCCTCTTAGTAGAGGGTACATCATGGATTCCTTCACTTTTTTTTGGGTAGGGAAGGATCCACAGTTGTTCTGCATTTAATAGCTCTTTATTAATAACTTCCATGGAAAAGTATATGCTATCTGCCTTCGTACACCGTCACCTGTTTCTGTTAAGTAAGTGTTCTGCAGGATTGCTTGTCAAGAGCACTTCTGGAGCAAAAATAAGAGAAGGTCTACTCTTGTGCCTTTCTCCTCATATCCAAGTGGCTGCTCTACATGATTGTGAGGGCTTAAAGTTTTCTGTGTGTATTTGCAGAGCCAGGCCTGTGTAATGGGGGTGGAGGGAAGATGTCTCCAGCTTGCTCAGGTGCATTTGCACCTGAGCTCTCTGAATTGAAGTGGAGATTCTATATGAATCTGGTAAATCTCATTCAGCAGGTGTGAGCCTTACACAGTGGTTTCCCACCTATTAGCCTGCAGCCTAGACTTCACCTCATATCTGGAGAATGACAACTTGGCCTTGCCTGTTTTAAGTGTGTCACGGGTGGTGGTGCTGTGGATGTAATGTCAGGTTGCAGAGGTGGGAGGACGAGGGTGTGTTTCTCGTTGGGCCTCCATACAAGAGAGGAAGGGGAAACTCCCTGGCTGCATCTGCAGCTCTTGGGTGTCTGCTGTAATGTGTCCTGCAGGGTGTGTTCCCGGACATGACGAGTTTTGTGACGTTCAGTCCCACTTGGAATGGTGACAGCACTTGGCATGTGGATGTAGGTGGTGTAACTCACTCTTTTCCCCTCCTGTTGGAATGCTTGTTTAAACTGTAATCCAGTGATACTTTAAAGAGGGCTTAAAAATCCCTAGGGTTTATAACCTGGCATTGTGTTGTGCAGGAAGAAGCATAGATATGGCAGAGTTTAATCTGCACAGAAAAGTTGTTTGGAGTAAAGTGCTTACACAGATCAAGCCTTTTGCACAATAAAGAGAGATGAGATGACAAGTCATTTTGCACATTGCAAATTCCGATGTACCGTATCTCCCCAAGTGTTTCCAAGGGATCCTTGATTAACTGGGGCTTCAAATTTAGATTTTAGTATGTGGAAACAAAAGGTATTCTTTTGCTCAGTCTAATGGCGTAACTGAGTTGTGCAAGAGTGTTTTGTTTGGACTGTACCTTCCCATGTACTGGTGGAACACGGTGTTGCTTAGGTTGGAGGATTCCTAGTCTGTTTTCATTGCTGGATGAAGTGCTAAAAGTGCTAGCTGCTAAGAATAAGGTGTGCTTGTGTGAGAGTACTTGAGTGGAGACAGCTTCAGAACTATGTATAAGACTGCTATGGCTTAGCAGCAAAGTGATTAGTGATTATTATGGTTACACTTGCTTACAGCTAGCCTGTTGATCAGCACACCACACTTGTTGGCAGCTGGAACCGTAAATTTTCTGAGATGGTCACCTATCTCAGCTTGGCAGGCAGCTAGAGAAGGGTGTGAGCTTGTGAAGGAACCAGTGTGACGTTGTTTCCTCTGTCTGCTGCCATACACTCTCTCATGGGGTGTTTGCTTAGAGGCTTGTGGCAGACTCTTCTTCCTCTCTTGATCCTAGATGGTTTATCTGGCAGAGCTGGGGCCTGATGAGGATTAAACTGCTTACTATGCACCATCACTGGAGCCTCAAAGGAGGAGGGAAGTAGCATATATAATCAAAGCTGCTGTTTCAAATAGCATCACTGGGATTTGTCTACACTGCTCCATAGCAGTGGGGAAACTTATGTGTTGTGGAGAATACTAGTAGGTAGTATTAGACATGAAACAACAGAACTGCAGAGCCAAACCATCCATCTTCCTTACTACATTGTCTCTCCCTTCTCTGTCTGACAGGTATTCGGTCGGTGAGCTTCTACGAGCACATCATCACGGTGGGAACAGGGCAAGGCTCCTTGTTGTTCTACGATATCCGAGCCCAGAGGTTTCTGGATGAAAAGCCCCCGCGTGGCTGCTTTGGACAGAAGCAGAAGTTAGGAGGAAGTGAAATTCTGAAGTTGACAACGGGGAAAGGTTGGCTGGTGAGTAGGTTGTAGCTGTAGGAGACCCTTTACACAGGAATGCTGTAGGGCTTGAACCAGTTCTTTTTGTGGTAACAGGAGCTGTTGTATGCAATGTGTTCCAGTCAAACAGTGGTCATACAACCAATAACTAACAGTGAAAAGCAAGAAGTGTTGCAGAATTGCTTCCTGTGAAACCCTTGTGAAAGGGTATTGAAAGTTAGTTCCCTGAGGCCTACTGACTACTGTTCTTATCCACCGATTCATAAATTAACTACATTTTATATCTTTTGGTTTTCAAATGTAGTCTAACTTCTAGTTTTCAGAACCTCAAACAGAAAATAAATTGTCTTCCTTTAAGGCCATGCTGCTCTAATGTGGTACTCAAAGCAAGAGAGATTTAATTTAATTGTGTACAATTTTAGAAACTGTGGCTTCCTGAGGTGAGGCAGGCGCTTGAGTTCATTTTCCTGTGTGTTATCATAAAGCAGATAATGGCTTTGTTTAGCTTACATCCGTTACCTTTTGTATCATTGTGATGTCCCTACCCTTCACTTCCCTATTCCAACATTTGGCCCAAATGTCCTCAGAAAAAGCTTTAGGATAACTCTGGTATCTTCTAGTTGGTCTGTATGAGGCTTTAGGAGTATTAAGAAGAAATATCCCTTTTTAGGCTTTGGAAGCTACCTTTGCTTTTGTGAAACAGGGTTTGGGTTTGTTCGGCAACAATAACAATCTAAATTTTCCTTTAACAGAATCACGATGAAACCTGGAGGAATTACTTTTCTGACATAAATTACTTCCCAAATGCTGTTTACACCCACTGCTACGACTCGTCTGGAACGAAACTCTTTGTGGCAGGAGGCCCCCTTCCATCAGGACTTCATGGGAATTACGCTGGTCTCTGGAGCTAAAAATAACTCTTCGTAAATGCTGATCTCTACACAGATTTCCACTTTTCCTTTTTTTAACAACGAAATTGTGTGATGCCATTGATTCCTGATTTAAATGCAAGTTGTTTTTTGGCAGAGTTTTCTGTTGGTCTCCAACAGTTTTGTACATCTTTTTGAACCAGTTTTTTGCTTTAACCTCCTTGATCCTTTATATGAAGGGGTTTTGAAGTTCTTTTTTATTGTATTTACTCCAAATGACTCTTCCCCCACATTTAGGCTGTCTTGGCCATGTGCCCCCTCCTCTACTTTGCTGTGAGGTAGGATTCCTTTCTTATAGAGTGGTTGCTCCTGGGCTTTCTGTGAAAGTCTCCGGGCTGCGTGTGTGCAGGTACTTTGTGTCAGTTCCATTACCTGGAGTGAGGACTACTTGTAATTAAAAAAATATGAAAAATATTTATAAGAGATAAGCTACTACTTTATCTGCAGAGCCTGGCCCTGGCCTGGGTTGATCTTATTTTTTGAAAGTACAAGTCTAATGACTCTGTTTATATGTAGAGGGATACAGTAATTTTAAGCTGTATTCATTGGAGCCCACGAACAGATACCCCAGAGGTATTGCCCATCAAGTCTGAAGTTCAGGAATTCTAAAAAGAGCGTTTTTCTTCCAGTTGTAGTTTTCAGCAGTGCCAAGAGCAAAAATTGACCTTCTGTTTTTTCACTGCATGTCCCAGGTATCAGTTTGCCCAACTGGAGTTTGCACAGGTTGTTGTGCAGTGTGGCTGTTGCAGGGTGACCTTACACTGAGGGCCTGCAGAGGTGCTGAGAAGAAATGGGAGCTAGTCATTCCAACTGAACTAACTCTTATCCATTTTCCAGATGGGCCAAGGTTTCTGACCGTGCTGTTGAGGTAGCTTATGAGTTCTTCATAAACTGCCTATAACCCAGAACTGTTGTTGTCCCAGATTGTGGAAGTTTTTTTCGTTTTTAGTGTTCTGGTTGGCCGTCCCCTCTAATAACTTAATGGAATAAACAAACTATTGTTTGTATCCAGTATTAAAGAGTGCATCTTGGACTTAACTAATGAAAGCAAGAAGCTGTCCATGCAGGAGGATAGCTTGGTGGCAGCTCACATTGCACTAGCATATGCTGTAGGAGAGGCTCAGGCTTTCTCTGAATCCCCTGCTGCCTTCTGCATTCAGACCCCCTCAGACCTCACCGGGGACTGGGTGGGGAGAACAGGTCCAGTGCCCTTCAAGTTCAGCATGTGCATTCTAGGGTGATGGTTTTACCCAGTGCAATTGTCAACTATTAATCGTTTAATTTTAAAGATGTTATAATGGTGCCTGTGTTGTTCTTTGGCAATGTACTGCTTTGGTTAATTCAGATGTTTAGAAAAGTGGAAATATACACAGAAAAACAAGTCTTGGTGAAGTATGGCAGGATTTGTCTTTCTTGGACTACTCCTCCAGATGCTGTGTAAGATCACTCTGTCACAGGGAATATGTTCTACTTCTTTTTTTTAATCTTGGGCTTGGTTTGAAGTTGCTTCGTTGTTTGTTTTTTTAAGAGAAACTAGACACTTGAGTCTACTTGAGTGTCCTCCAGTTCTGCTTAAACAACAGTTACTAGTGTAAGCACTTAGTGTCAGCAATGTCAAAGGAAAACTCTTGGTCTTGAAATTCTAGCCCTGATGTTGATCTAATAATTGAAGCATATTCTAGATCATGATAAGGGGACAAAAGTATTTATATGGATACAGCTTCAGCCTTCAAATATGGAGGCTGATTCTTCTGCAAAGTCTCCAGGTTACTGAAGCACCACTGGGAAATTGTCCCTCTCTGCTGACTCTCTCCCCAGGTACCTCAATATGTGGTCCTAAAGCCTGGTAGTGTGAGTGTCCTATTCCTTTTTTTTTTTTTTTTTTCTGCATAGGAAGCTTTGGACAATTCTCAGATGAATCTGGACAGTGATGTAAAATTCCTCAACTCTCACATGCTTCTGTGTATTCTGCTTTCAGGCTGATTTCTCAGAAATATAACTTCTTGGGAAGGGAACCATCTTTGTTGCTGTATGAAAATCCTCCCCCAAAACCAGAAACAAACTAGGTAGTGCTGTAAACACACAAATTAATTGGGCCAGTGAGAACTTAATTTCCAGCCTGTGTCTGTGGTGTTAAATGCTTGTAGCAATGGTGTATGGTTGGTCATATGTCACTTTTGTTCCAATCAGTGTTAGAAATTGAGGCAGAGAAAGGAAATTATATGCCAGCTGTCCAAAGATAAGTGATAGGAGAAGTAGGACAAAAAATTCAGTTTTTCTTACTTGATTTGATTTTGTTGCCCTATTGGGTTACATATCAGTTGAAATCCAGGATCATAGTTAGTAATGCAGGGTTTCCCATTGAAGTGCAGGAATGGCTGCACAGCAGGGAATCTCCAGGCTCCACAGAGAGGTGAGTCGGGTGCACCCGGTTGTTCAAATGGCAGATACACCCCTGTGATGGATGGAGTTGTCTGGTGACTGCGCTTGAGTAGCTGCTTGAACGGCTCACTGTGCTCTGCTGAGACCCAGTGACATGCATATCTTTCAGACCATCTTATCTTTTCCAATGTTTCTTAAACATTTCCCTCCCTTGGTCTTTCCTGCCTGCCAGAATGGTTTGTTTGGGGTTGCCTCCTCCAACCCAAATCACACCAGTCTTTGCTGTAGCGACATTGCCCCTGCAGAGGTGACCTCAGTCGAGCAGAAGTAGGCTCACTGGCACTTTGTCAAGCTGTGCTTCAGACCTTCAATTTGCTTTATTTTAAGCTGTGTAGAAGTTGGAGGCTGGCTCAGACTGTAGAACTGGGCAGTTGCCCTTGTATGTGTTTGATTGATGAGATTATACAGTAATTGCTGGGAACATACTCTGGTTTCTCTCACTTGAAGAAGAGAAAAAACCTTTAATCATAACACACCTTCAGACTCGCTGCTACTGACTTTCCAGTCATGTGGGATCTTTTGTGCTGCCAGTGAGTGTAGGAAGAAGTTAGTCTTACTGCTCAGCTCTGTTCAGTAGACTACCATGTTAATTTGGGTATCTTTGGGTGTTACATTTTAGGTATTCACAATAACAGGTAATCAAACCAGTGACTAAATTATGGGTTAGGTAATACCTAGCTTGTAAGTACTGGGTAGTAGCTGCTAAGTAACAGCTGGGTGTTACGTGGTGGGACATTCCCGAGGAATCAGAAGCTACTTTGCAGTGTTGGCTTGAGCACAGCTATGAGGGTGGTGCTCACCCTCTTCACCAAACACCTTATTCCTATAATTCCTCGATATTTCTCCCTTGTGCAGTCAAGCTGGTAGGGAGGAGATTTGCTGGTGCTCTCCTCTGGTGCTTTCTGGGATTGCATTAAAGAAGTGAGTCCATTTGTTTGGTTCCCTCATGAGTGCTGCTGGTGGTAGTTCAAGGTGAGTAAATTACCAAAGAATAGTTAGTAGGTGTTTGTTCCTAGTCTCAGTTGTTAATTTTCCTCACAAATCCATTTTTAAGATCATCACAAGAGCTTCCAGTGATTTTACTGGTCTTAGTCTGTCCACAAAGGTTACCTTCACATCATGGGTGACTCCTGTGACTCCCTTAATGAGGGGAGCTCCTGAACTGTATTGTGGGGTTTATATTTGCTGTCTCCATTTCAGATCTTTGGCAGCTTTTTATATCTTAAGGATTAAGATACTTAGAGATCATTTTCCTCCAGAATTTCATCCTCCTCCTTCACCTGAGTACTTGCTTTTTGTATATAGCTTGCAGCTGCAGAATTAACAGATTAAAGTTATTATCCAGCTGTGCTGAATGGAGCTTTGGTGTCTTAATTTCTGCCCCTTGGCTGTGAGGCACTTACAGGCCTTGTGAACTGCTGTCACCCACCTGGTGTAGGTGTGAAACACCAAGGTTTGCCTAGACCCTTCATGGGGGTCACCAGTTTGGTTTGTTTGCAAGAAACGCAGAACAGGTGGGCTGTCAGTTACTGCACCTTGGAAAAGCAGCAGTGTCTTTCAGCAGCCAGGTGGGAGTTCTGATGTCTGTGATTATCTCATGCCCTTATTTTCCATAAACTCACTTCTCCAGGGTGTCTGATATGTTCTTAATTGGTTTCTTCTGCAGTTACTGCTATGACTAACTTACTGGACTGGGGTACTGCTCGTTCCTAAGGAACACTATTGCAGAGCTGAATGTGATGCAGGTGGAGCTGATCCTCTGGCCAGCCCATGCTGAGCCTGGGACTCCTATGATAGCCAGGCAGATGCTTTCTAACCTAAAGCCAAGTGAAAATCCCTGTGTGTCCTGCTGGCCACCCCACAGTCTGAGCCCATGGTGTGATGTCAACTTAAAATGCATTTCTGAGTGAGGCAGTGCCCCTCAGTAACTTGATGGAAAGTCTCTGAAGTACAGACACCAGGAATTCACCTGTGTATGCACAAGGGAGGGTGGAAAGGGGAACACAGCCACCTCTTGTCTGAAGGGACCTCTGCCTGCATGTGCTCTCCTTTGCCCCGCAAGTGAGCACTTTGTGTGGTAAGGAAGGGCATGGGGCACCAGAGAAAGAGTGAAAGGTCAACAGTGTTTGGTACAGCTCTTGGGACTCCTGAGGAATTTAAAAAAATAGAGGGGATATGTGAATGAAGTTACTCAGAAACATCTTCAGAGAGATCAGATATATATGCCTGTCATTCTTGTCTCTCCATGTTAATTTTCAAGAATAAAATTAGGAAGTATCTCTTTGTTTGTGATGCTGGGTTTCTTTATGAAAACCACGTGGTACTTGACTAATTATAGGAATGCTCTTGCAGAAAGGAATCTTCCCATTTCCTAACAGTCTTTCCTACCAGTGTCCTGCTGCGAGTGGTGTGGCCTAAGAAAGTGCATGCAGATTAAAAATAGGGTGCCAGGTTTGGCAGAGTTGGGAAAATGTGGAATGCCTGACTGTTTCTGTACCCTAAAAAACCACCAACACTTGATCGTATACGAATTCTGGTCATTGGACTGAAACTGAGAGGGTGTATAAAAACCCTTGCAACATAGTGCAATGTCTCTGTAGTCCTAGATGTTGATTCTTTGACTTCAGGACAAAAATATAGGAGTCAATACATTGTTTTCTTAGGAATTGCTTTTCTAGATTCCCTTAATAAAAGGGAAAATTCAGGTGCTGAGTCTTATAATCTCATTAAACGTGTACTTTTTATTTGCCCTTTCACCTGGTCTCCTCTCATTTCCAAGGTCTCCCACAGTCTCAGGGTATATAAATCACTATGACTCATCCAAATAGTACCAAAATGGACCAACCAGAGGTTAATGTGCCTTCCTCTTCTGGTACCTTAAAGTTATCTCACAAACTTGTCACTGTCTTAGGGCTGGGTACATGCATTGTCTTTTTCTAAGATGTATGTGTTGAAATTGCAACAGGTTTGTACTGTTACTTGTGACTTGTTCCATTTGTGTTAGGATGTGGCGTAGGCACACATCAGTGCACTGGTTTGTCTTGGTATCACTCCTACCAATATCTATCAGTGCTTGCTTGTATGTTCATGTGTACACAAATGCTGGATCTTCCCCACTGCCTGTGGTGCATGTGGTGCACAAAGCACACAAGGTTTTCTGAAACGTTCAATGATCACAACTTGTTGCCTGAGGGTAGGATATCCTACAGTGAGCCGTTTTTAATGGGTTTTTTTCCAAATATAGTTAATAAGAT